ACCCCCATCACCACCAATCACTAACCAACACACAAAAACCCCTCTCACCCCCATCCAAGAAAACCCCTTAATCACCAACCACCACAAATCTAGGGTTTGCGTGATTTTTCCATTTTCCCGTCGATTCCGGCAAAAAAAATCCCTCTCGAAAACCCTTTCCATCACTGACAGTCGTTTGGTCGCCGGTCACCATCCATCACTTCCCCATCTCCTCGCACGACAGCTGGGTTTGGGTTGATTTGGAGCCTTTGTTTTGAGTTTAATTTGCTGCGTTTTTGTTGTGTTTTGGAGTGAATTTAATTTGTTGATTGATTGTGGGTTTTTTTTCTAGTTTTTTCCCCTCTGCCACTGCCGTCGCCCACCACCTGTGTTTTGGAGTGAATCTGATTTGTTGATTAATTGTAGGATGGGCCGACTGCAGTGGTGGTTTGGCCGGTTGTGGTGGCAGTTTGGGATGGGTGGCTTAGAATGGACTATGGTTTGGAATGAGGTAAAGGGCAGTTTCGTAATAGCCTGTCACAGAACCAAACCGTCACTAACAACGTTCATTTAAGGGTGAGGATTTGGAATAAATGGAACCGAGAGTATTTGCTTGGGATTTCGCCAAACCTCGGGTGGTTTACTAAAAAAAGAATTGCTTTCAATTGTTTATATATATATATAAACAATTGAAAGCTTTGCTTTATATATATATATATAAACAATTGAAAGCTTTGCTTTATATATATATATATCTAGAATATATATATATATATATATCGCATGAAACATATGCTTAAAAGTACTTGGAAAAACTAATGACAACTATAGTAACTCATTAAGAAACATTGAACCCATGCTCTAATGATAATATAATTTTTCATTAAACTATTAAACCGTGATGAGGTATATTTCATTTTCTTTGTGAGATACTTATTATAATATATCTGCTTTGGTTAGAAAGTATTAAAATTTTCTTTCATTATCAAAAAACCTTTTTTCAAGGGGCATTCAATATAATCTGAATATGAAGGATGATTTTACTACTAAACGATCTCACATGAAAGAAAAAAAAAAACCATTCGAGATATATGTAATAGTATATCTTTCTGACATTAATTTATTTAAAGAAAATAAGATTTATGTGCATCATATTAGTTAATAATTAAATTATTCTTTGAACGTAGTAACATTGTCATCACAATTAAAACAAAGAAGGCCTTTAATAAAGATGAAGGGTATGGTGATAATAATAATAATGATAATAAGTTTTATATGTTGCATATTTATTCATGTCATATTTGATAATTTAAATCATACCTTTTAGTATGTTAAGTTTTAAAATTTAGTAACAAAAGCAACATCTTTTATTCTTTTAAAAGATATTGTAACAATATCAAAAGGATGTTGTGACACATATTATGATATCAAAACTGCCCATATTAGGACACATATTAGAACAAAAATATATTTTAAAATTTAATAAATTTTAAAATAAATTTGTTTTTATAGATAAATTAATCACCTAAATTATTAACTAATTACTATTAGTCACCAACCTCAACTTTAATGAGGTCAAAAATAGAATGAAAAGATTAACTCTAACTTCTATGATCAGTTAGAAAATTTATAGTATTTGTAGTTTTTTTATTAATTATTTTTTAAAATAAATCATTTTATTTTCCTTTTTTAACTCTAGATTATATTTTATAGAATCTTTACATTATTTTTCTTATACATGAAGAAGATATAATACAATTTTCTTTATATTACCAAAATACAAAGAAAAATAAGTTAATATTCTTGCTTTGGTCTTTATTATTATTATTATTATTATTGATATTTAACTGTAATAAATTTCTTTATTAGTTTTTTGTTCCAAATTGACGTTCTAGACCATGTAATTCTAACAAATTAATCTTAATCTTATGCTTATTATCTACATATAATTAATTTATTTTCAGAAAAAAATAAATTTCTTTTATACATGAAATATTCTATTGCTTTTTAAATTTAAATTTAAATGTAAAATTTATTATTCACAATAATTTAATTATATAAAAAAAAAAATCAATCCTAGTTATTTATTTTAACTCTTTAACCTTTTTTTATTGTAGATAAATAATTTCAAAATCATAATTCTTGAAAAATTAATACATTTAGAGATTTTATTTCATCATAAGTGCTCTTTTGTCTTCTTTCTATACATCGATTTCTCCCTTTTTTTTAACGAAATTTTAAACTAAAAACAACTTTTTCTCTTCTCAAAAGGTTTAAAATAAGTTCAATTTATGATGTGGTATCATATCATCGTTTTAAAAAAATGATAATATTATATCAAATAAGAAACTTTTATTAAAATTATTTGTTTTTTATCTACACTTAAAATATTTTCAACCCTCCCAACGAAAAAAAAAAAAAAAAAAATCTGCTTTCACCCAAGCATGTTGATATTTTAATATATTTTTTCATCCATTTTATCATTTTTTTCTAAGATTTGGCTCAAGTTAGTTACTACTTCAACGGGATAATATAATCCTTTTTAACCCTAATTTGACTGAGAATAATTCATGGTGTTTACTCTATGTTTCATAGTTGTTCTTATATTCACAACATTAACATAACCTATTCACTTCTTCTTCTTTTTCTTTCATTTTCTCCTCCATATATATAATTAATTTGTTTGCCCTTCTTCAACGGTGAAGAATATTAATATGCAGAGCGCTTCAATGGATCCTGAGAAGAATATTAATCCCGGGGACGATGCATTTCGCGGCGATTGCATCCCTGTTGTCTTTGTTGCTGCAATCTACTTTGGCTTTTTCTTTATAAGTTTCTTAGGAGGCTCTAACGATCATCCTCAAATCGAGGTGAACTCAGTATCCATCGATAACTTTTCAGTTTCCGTTTCAGAGTCTCAGTTAACTGGTAACTGGAGTATTATTTTGTCAATCAAAAACCCTTACAAAGATGAGATAATCTCGTATTCGAGATTCGAACTTCATGTCTCCTACAAGAAAGAATTTATATCAGGAAGGATGGTCATCAATGGTTTTGAGCAAGCCGCTGGTCAAGAAAATTTGTTCGCCGCAGGATTCAGCCTCTCATCAGCACCAATTTCTAGCCAGTCTGCACGTCGAGTTGAAGATGAGTTGATTGGAAGCCGAGTTATAGAATTTGACGTGATGATACAGGGAAGAATAAAGAGGTTTGCAAATGAAGGATCGAGATCTAGAGCGATGCATTATAAAATTTCAGGTTCATGTGAGAATTTGAAGGTGGGATTTGGGTCCCATTCCACAGTTGGAATAATACTGAACAGCCCTTCACATTGCAAAGTGCGAAGCCGACGAGCAGCTAGCTGAATTAGAAAATTGTATTTAGGGGGGCAAAAGAAGAATAATTAGTTTTTAAGTGGTGAGAAAGATATATTTTATATGTAAATTTCAAAATTTTCCTCAAACGCGGGTGGGGCCACCCCTCAGGCCATAACGTTGGTCCTCACTATCGCGAGAATTAGAATAAAAGTCTTCTTCGTAAATTAGGTTTAATTTATTAGTTTAGAAAAGGGGATATATATAATATAATAGGCCGACAAGAATTCAAGTGAGGATGGTGAATAATTATTTTCAACATAATGATAAATATTAAACTTTTAATATTATTTTTCTATTTTTTTCGTGTTTTAATGTTGGAAAATAATCATTGTAAATACTATTAAACATGTCAAATAAAAAAAAAAAACTTATAAAAATAGAATTTCCTTAAATTAACTAAAGCCGGTTTAAAAATAATTTCTAAGATAATAAAACGATGATTTATTAACTTAGAAAAAAAAATTTGCTTTAAATATTTTTTTTTTTTTTTTTTTTTTTTTTTTTTTTTTTTTTTTTTACATATAACATTGAGCTTTTATGTGTTTATAAAGCTAACTATTTTATTTATTATGCTTTTGGACTTGATTATTAGATGGGGTAATTTATAAGTTATAATATAACTAGGGGTGTTCGGTTCCGGGTACCTTGTACTTTTTGAAGGAACCGGAACCAGAACCGGAACCGACGGTTCCTTGAAATTTGGAACCAGAACCAGAACCGACGGTTCCAGTTCCTAAGTACCCAGAACCAGAACCTGTAACAACGGTTTTGGTTTTGGTTCTGGGTACCCTATAAAATTCATGACCCCCCAAAAGTTTTTAAAATGATAAAAAAAACCCTTAAAAATTACAAATACCCCCCCACCTGGCACTTGTTAACAAAAATAAAATTAAAAACTTTATTACTTTGTAAAGGTAGATTCTCAAAAGTGAAACCAACTTACTTTAAATATTATGCAATATAAATATAAATGTATTCACATTACTTTTTCTATAAAAGTTTTTATTAACCCCCCTAATATTTAATTTTATTTTATATTAGTCTCGGTTCCTGGTTCCTGGTTGTTCTGGGTAGGAACCAGAACCAAACCCAGGGTACCCACCGGTTCCAGTTCCTACCAGTTCTTTTGAACACCCATAAATATAACACATATTATTTAGGGTGTAACTGTAAAGTTATAAAACTTATGGATTTAAAAAGAAATCAGGGATGGCATTGGCCCACCCTATATATACGTATACCCATAAAATAAAAAAAATAAAAAAACTAATATGATAATTAAGTAATTACTGTGTTTTTCTTTTAAATATTAATCCAATAATCATATTCTAATAATCATTAATTAATAACTTTACCAATCTAAAACAAACTACTTATAGGAAACCACTATCCAAAATAGTTTCCAAATAGAGGTTCTTTAACCATGTAATCCTAACTAATTAATCTTAATCATAAGCTTATCTACATAATAATTATTTAATTACTATATGGCATGCATTAAAATGATAAATTAATAATTATGTAAGTAACACAAAGTGTAATTAAATTGTGATTATAGTAAGTAATAAAATAAATAATAATAATAATAATAATAATAATAATAATAATGGATTATTTGCCGATAAACTCTCTTTCTTTGAACAACCTGGACATGGCGTCTCCTCCATTATTCTTAATCTTCATCATCATTTCCATTGATCTTTTCTTCTCTTTGATCTCCACTCAGCTTCTCTTTATTCTTCATCTTCAGAATCTCATCATTTCCTTTCCCTTCACTCACTCTCTTTATTCTCCTCCATCATTTCCTTCTTCTCCATAAAATAATTTTCTTCTTCTTCTGGTTTGGTTTGGTTTGTTCTTGATTCAAGAAAATCTCTTGCACGCATCACAATTTTCCGTGTAATAATATTCTCTAAATTCTTGAATATTTCACCGATGGAATAATAAATTATTCATGTTTTGATGGGAAACACATGTGTGGGGCCAAATCTTAGTGGTAACGGATTCCTGCAATCTGTTACGGCGGCCGTTTGGCGAAACCGTCCACCGGAAGACCGCCTACCTCCGCCGTCTAAAAACGAGCCCAAAAACCAACCAACCGATCAATCTGTAAAATCATCAAAACACAATACTGATAATAATTCCGCCACAGCCACCACCCAAAAAGCGCCAATCCAAAGCACGGCGCCTTCGCCGGTTAAAATCAACAACGACGCACCGAAACCACAACCTCAAGTTCCTGAGCAAAGGCCAACTCCGCCGGCTGATAAAGTTGGCCTGGCGGATGACCCCGACAAGGCGAAGAAACCGCCTCATACGAAGAAAGTTTCGAGCGCAGCATTGCAAATGGAGTCTGTCTTAGGGAGGAAGACTGGGAACTTGAAGGAGATTTATAGCTTGGGGCGCAAGTTAGGTCAAGGGCAATTCGGAACCACATTCCTTTGTATCGAGAAGGCAACAGGCAATGAATACGCGTGTAAATCAATCGCGAAGAGGAAGCTAACGACTGAAGAAGATGTTGAAGATGTTCGGAGGGAAATAAGAATAATGCATCACATGGCCGGTCATCCGAATGTGATACAGATTGTTGGGGCGTATGAAGACGCGGTGGCTGTGCACGTTGTGATGGAACTTTGCGCAGGAGGGGAGCTTTTTGATAGGATTATACAGAGGGGACATTACACGGAGAAGAAAGCAGCTGAGCTAACGAGGATTATAGTTGGAGTGGTGGAGGCCTGTCATTCTTTAGGTGTTATGCATAGAGATTTGAAGCCTGAGAATTTTCTGTTCATTAGCCATGAAGAAGATTCGCCGCTGAAGACGATAGACTTTGGACTCTCAGTCTTCTTTAGGCCAGGTGTGGATTTTCTTAAGGATTTTGAGCTTTAATTTACTTCAAGCAAATATTGTATCTTGCAGTTCTTCATCAAAATTCTGATAAAACTTTGATATAGAATAGTATCAATAATCACTTACCATATCAAAGAAATTCGTGTTTTTTTTTTTTTGGTCTAATTAGAAGTAGAAAGCAATTCTAGTTTGATGAAATTATCGAAGTGTTTGAGAAGGAGAACAATAGATAATCAATAGAGAGACCATGAGCATATTGAATTTCTATAAGATTTGTGCTACTTTGAAAGAAGTTTACTCCAAGGAAACCACTTACCATATCAGTCTTGATATTTGGAGAGACAGAGAAATTATGTTGAAGCTATCAAATTATATTATACTCAGAAGAACAGTTGTGAGTGAATCTGCTTCGAAGTGGTCGTAAATCAATTGTCGAAGCAAGAGAACGCTCGATAAAAGAGATTGATAGGGACTACAGATCCATGTAGTGATCATATCAAATAAGAGAAGAGGTGACATGGTAACTTGGGAGCTTTTGTCTTGAAACTTGCTTGGTTGAGCTTTGGTTAGACCAAAACAGAAAATTTAAGAGTACATTAGATTTCGTGTCTTCCCCAACCATTTCTGCGAAGTTATATCCACTAAGTACTTAGGGCTGTGACTTGGGGATATTTGTTAATTGCAAGTTCTGTTTAAGTGGTGATATATATGTTCTTCCTCATTGCGGCTACAATGAATTGTCCTTTTATATTCTTTAAAGCCTTGTATTAGTGGTTGTATTTGCATAGTTCATGCCCATGATGAAGATGAACAACTTTAGCTGGCTCAAAATAGACTAAATTTTGCCCTTTGTCTTGGGCTTAATTTCCTTTCATTTTCGAAAACAGGGTTACTGTAAGGTTATTTGGTTTGTTCATTAACTTCATGACTCCTTCATATGCTTAAGGTAATCTGTATTCAGTACTGAATCAATAGCTTGAATAATTTCCAAAACCATATGATTTATGCTTGTGGATTTAGATTTTCTCAATCCTGCTATGTCACATTTTGCTGATATCTTTCTTATAATAGACATTGGTGTATCTTGGCAGCGCACAGTCTCAAAACATTCTTAGTTTCAACATTGCATGGCTTTCCTTCTCTCTTTCCTGCAACTAATAATTCATTCTTTCAGGAGAAACATTGAACGATGTGGTTGGAAGCCCCTACTACGTCGCGCCAGAAGTGTTGCGAAAGAATTATGGTCCAGCATGTGATGTGTGGAGCGCGGGGGTGATTATTTACATATTACTATGTGGGGTGCCTCCATTTTGGGATGGTAAGAATTGATAATCTGATAAAAATCAGACTTCTGCTATTCTGTTTACGGTTCTAGACACATCTCAATTATGTTTATTTTATCGGTTTGCTGTGAATCTTCTTGAATCAGAAACGGAGCAAGGGATATTTGAACAAGTTCTGAAAGGTGATCTCGACTTTATATCTGAACCGTGGCCTACTATATCAGATGGTGCGAAAGATCTAGTTCGGAGAATGCTTGTAAGGGATCCCAAGAAACGTTTAACCGCTCATGAAGTTCTTAGTAAGTCTTTATGTCATTAAAGAAACATGAAAACATAACCAATACATTCTTATAGCTTAAAGCATAATAATGAATTTGGTGGACTTTTCATTCTTCTCCAGGCCATCCATGGGTTCAGGTGCACGGCGTCGCTCCTGATAAGCCTCTTGATTCTGCAGTTCTATCGCGCTTGAAACAATTTTCTGCCATGAACAAGCTCAAGAAAATTGCCATCAGAGTAAGCACCCTCTAACTGTTGCGACGACTTCTTCTCCTTGCCAACTTGTGTTAAGGCTCTTAACAAAAGGTTTGTAAATTTTCGCAGGTAATTGCCGAGAGCCTGTCGGAAGAGGAAATTGCAGGGCTGAAAGAAATGTTCAAGATGATAGACACAGATAACAGTGGACATATCACTCTTGAGGAACTCAAAAAGGGTTTGGAAAAAGTAGGAGCAAATCTCAAGGATGCCGAAATCATTAATTTAATGGAAGCGGTAAGTTATAAATTAGAGCAATCTCAGAAACCAGAATGCTTCAATTTGATCAAATTTGATTTACTTTAATCTCGACATTCTTCCGAACAATGCAGGCTGATATAGACAATAGTGGCACCATGGACTATAAAGAGTTCATCGCTGCCATGCTTCATCTAAACAAAATCCAGAAAGAAGATCATTTATACGCAGCATTTTCGTATTTTGACAAAGATGGAAGCGGTTACATAACTCTAGATGAACTGCAACAAGCCTGTCAGCAATTTGGCTTAGATAACACACAATTAGAAGAGATTATACGCGAAGTCGACCAAGATAATGTACACAAATTCCTAACGATTTTCCTTTTTAGAAGCCAAACATAATCGATCTTCAAACAATCTTTATAACAACTTTCTTCTTGCTTTTTTTTCCTGCAGGACGGGCGTATCGATTACAGTGAGTTTGCTGATATGATGCAAGACACTGGTTTAGGCAAGATGATCTTAAAGAAAACCTGAGAAATATTTCATTCAGGAAAAGGCTTCAGAAATTGCAGATTCCTGATCCTGGTATGCCAAAAAATCCCCACAAATTTGGTAAGATAATAAGTAATTTTTCGGAAACGAAATTTGATCTTGAAAACTTTAACAGGTTTTCAAGTACTGCATATTGTTGTAAAGATCATCAGCCAGGCTACATTTTAGTGTTCAATTTCTTCTTGTATTTAACCTTTCAGGTTTCTTCTGTTGGGTATCTTAAATCAGATTCGATCATTTCTTTTTTCAAAAAAAGGAAAAAAGAAAAAAAAAAAAAAAAAAATCAGCCAGGCTACATTTTAGTGTTCAATTTCTTCTTGTATTTAACCTTTCAGGTTTCTTCTGTTGGGTATCTTAAATCAGATTCGATCATTTCTTTTTTCAAAAAAAGGAAAAAAGAAAAAAAAAAAAAAAAAAGAAATGAGAAACTGAATATTGTTCATATATTAGAGATCCAAGAGTTTTTCATGTCTCCAGGTAAGAGTTTAAGCTGCACTAAATTATGCATACATACAATTATACATGTAAATCTTTTTTTTTTTTTTTTAATCTTAATTATTTGAGAATATATATAGATTTTTTTTTTTTTTATCATCGGGGTGTCCGAAACAGCTTACGCGCACCTCGATATGTAGATGATTTTGTATCGTAAAATCTTGCATTCAATTATTGTTGATACTTGATTTTGGCACTAACTATTCGCACGTGTAAAGTGCTAAGCGGACTTAGAAATCACATGTGATATGGAAATGCAAGGAAAGAGACAGAGCAGATAACAATTTTTAAAGTGGTTCAGATGCTCTAAGGCGAACCCTACGTGCATTGTGATTTTCTTATTCTCTGATTATTTCTATGATATTGCCCGTAAGGCGTACAAAGAATGGAGAAAAACTTTATTTACAGAGAAAAATTAATGAAATGAAGCTCAAATCTATGCCCAGCCTCCTCTTTCGTGAAGAGAAGTGTCAATTTATACACCTTTGAGGTCAATGTAATAAGTGTTTTGCAAGTTGCCTTGAAACATAGAAAGCTCTCATCCGTTCTCCTCTTAAAATGAGATAGGATTGGTATAAGATATCTTTGATGCGGTATAGACTTGACAGGAAGTACACTTTGTCTTTTAGGCACTTGTTGAGCTGACATCAACATGACTTAACCCCCCCACCCCCCCGTTTTTGGAGTACGTAATCGCGCTTCAAAAACTCAGGTCTTTGATCTGAATGGTTGTCGCACTATAGGTTGCAGTCTCGAACTAAAAAGCTCGAACTATACCTGGCGCGATTAGGTGCTAAGAGTTAGGACTGCAATCTAAGAGCTTGGAGCAATCTGAAGCTGAGCGATGTCTAATAGATGAATTCCTGGAGGGAGCTAACGTCAGAAGCCCAAATGCACGGCTTTAGATACCTTAAATGGATAAGCCAACTTAAAAGTGCCATAACTTTTAATCCAAGAGGAGTTTTAGAGCTCGTAAGATATCCATGGAAAGCTTGTTCCAAGCTCTACGTCATGGGAACAAGGAAACCTAGTGTGGGCCATTTTCAAGGCCAGAATCCACCATTTCAACATGTTTCAGGACTGTTTTGAGTTTTCTACGCGTTTTTTCTAACGTTGGCAGCTGGTCACGATCTGAGAACTGAGAACTGATCACGATCTAAGAGTTGAGAACATGACCTGAGGCTGTTTGTAATATCAGAGCTAAGAGCTGATCGCGATTTGAGAGCTAGGAGCTTATCGCAATCTAATAGAAGCTCGACCTAATAGTCTGAGGCATGCAATCTGAACGATCTAATGCACACGATCTTAAGTAAATGAGCAAGCTTATGGGCTTAATCAGAGAGCATAAGGAGCTCGATCAGAGAGTATAAAAAGCTCAATCTGAGAACTCGAGAGCTCTTTACAATCTAAGAGCCAGGGAGCTCTTTGCGATCAAAGAGTTTAAGGAGTTCAATCAGAAAACAGGAGTTCGATCAGAAAGTGCGAAGCTTGATCTGAGAACAAGAGATCAACGATCTAAGTACTCAAAAGTGTGATCTGGCCGCTCGGAAGCGCGATCTAAATTATCTGAACGCGTGATCCGGATGATCTGAGCGTGCGATCTGTGATTTGGCCACGCGAGCTGGGTGCTCTGAGCGTGCGATCTGTGATTAGACCACGCAATCTGAGAACCTTGATACGTGTGATCTGTAATCTGACCACCCAATTTGAGAACTTTGATGCGTGCGATCTACGATCTGACCACAAGGTCAGAGAACTCTGATGCGTGCAATCTGCGATCTGACCACGTGATCAGAGAACTCTGATGCGTGCGATCTGACCACGCAATCAGAGAAGTCTGATGTATGCAATCTGACCACACAATCGGAGAGCTCTAATGCGTGTGATCTGCGATCTGGTCACGCGATCCGAGAACTCTGATACGTGCGATTTGGGATCTGACCACGCCATTGGGGAACTCTAATGCATGCAATCTACGATCTAACCACGCCATCTGAGAGCTTGGAAGCGAGTTTAAGACCTGCATGGGCCACCAAACTGTTAATGCTTGATTTTAACACTAACGACTCACAAGTGCAAAGTGCTAAGCGAACTTAGAAATTACACGTGATGAATTCAAGAAATTTGAATAGGATGCTGAAACGTAAATAAAAGATTGGCAAGAGGGGTTTTTATAGTAGTTTGGATACTCAAAAGCAAATCCTACGTCCATTGTGATTTTATTATTCTCTGACTATTTCTATGATATTGCCCGTAAGGCGTACAAAGAATGGAGAAAAGCTTTGTTTACATAGAAAAATTAATGAAATGAAGCTCAAATCTATGCCCAGCTCTTCTTTGTCCAGCCTCCTCTTTTGTAAAGAGAAGTGTCAATTTATACACCTTTGAAGTCAATGTAATGAGTGTTTTGCAAGTTGCTTTGACACATAGAAAACTCTCATTCGTTCTTCTCTTAAAATGAGATAGGGTTGGTATAAAATATCTTTGAGGCAGTATGGGCTTGACAGGAAATACATTTTGTCTTTTAAGCACTTGTTGAACTGACATCAGCGTGACTTTTTAGCCATATTATATATATATATATATATATATTGTAAACATGTTAATTTCTTTACCATATATCAAGACTTTGATAAATATTTTATTTTCTTCATGTTTTCACTAATTTGCTAATTCATTTATTTATCATATATAAATACTTATTTAACAAAAATTTAATTACTATTTTTACAAATTAGGGTTATGATTCCATCAATAAATTCTGTTGTACGAAATTCTTCCAGACAAAATTATATATTATTTCGAAAAAAAAATAAAAAATCCAACCCACTATTGTAGCATGATAGATGTTCTTGGACATGTAGACAAAAACCCTTCTGTCCTTCTGTCTTAATTTGCGAGGTTTAGACAAGTATATGTCAACTACAGTAGTGTTCATGTGTCAAGCATGAGCCTTTCAGTAATGGTGCCAAACAATGTTTTGTTTTGTTTGAGGCTTAAGCTGTCAAATGGAACGAGTTGACTCTAGGACATAAAATTTGTGGTAAATTTAATAAGAAAATATTACACTAACCAATTCTGCAAATCAACTTTCCATCCCGATCACATGGGGAGTCGATCTACAAAAAAAAAGTTAAGTGTAGTCTTGCCCATTTAAAAAACTTCAAGTGAGTTCTTTAACCAAATTTAGAGAAACTTTATGATGATTATTAAAATTTTAATTGCGTCGAACCGATAATTATAATCTATCTATAATTAAGTAGAACCTCAAGAGAGATCAATTGTAAGAAATGTTCAACGTTTTTTTGTTAAAAAATAATTTTACCCTTATGTAAATAAGTGAAAACACAAATAAATTAAATTAATTTATATATTATCTAAATTTGAAATGCGTGTTGTACTATTTATTAAATATTTTAAAATATAATTACGATGATTTACTTAAATATTTAATTAAAGAGCAATACTAGTTTTACAAAGACACATATAAAAAGGGCATACAAAGACAATCTTCATCCTTGATTTTCATGATATCTCTCTCTCTTTTTTCGTTTTTTCTTTATTTTTTCCTTCTTACTGATGTCACTTTGTAGCCCTCTTTGTATGGGTCTTTGTAAGGATAGCATTTTTCTTAATTAAAAAGGTGTTTATTTCATTTAATATATTGAGGGTTACATTGAAAATTATATTGTTTTATGAAACATATTTATGGCCTAACAACTATTTATGTTAGCATTTTTTTTTTTTTTTATAGTAATTATAGTCCATAAAAATTCGAGAAACTTTGTCTTAAAGCAGTTTCAGTATTTTTATTACGGAGTGCACACTTAAAAAATCAATTAATCACTGTATTCTAAAGATTAGACCGTTACATACATATATATGTCTGGGGTCCTTTTCTAACCCCTCTCTTATACGTATGCGGATGGCCCTTTGCCTATGGCTGTTATCTCTTCTAACTTTAAAAGATCCCAACTTGGCCTTTCGATTTAGTGCATCAGCAACTTGATTGGATTGATCCTTCCTATAGGCTTATAGTCGAGGACCATACCAAACCCCGCCAGAAAGTCTTTTCGTTGTGCTCGCTTGTAGTCTTAAAAGGGGACGGAACTATCTTTAAGGACCGTGCATTTAGCACGCCTTAACTTTCTCAAGCGAGTGAAATTATTGGAATCAAATTCAAAATTCCATATTATTACAAAAATTTCCAACAATATATACATATAGTGATGAATATATAGTTTTGGTCTCTTGGTGTTGGATGGCTTTGTCAATGCAATAAATTACCAACTTAGTATGGCTTTATTTTTCACCTAAGGTCCCATCCAAACCACATGACACTTGACCTAACATACACAATCTTTTTCATTACTTCTATACCTTTTTTTTTTTTTTTTTTAAACTTTACAAAAACCCCCCACTTCACCATCAACCTTTTACTTCATCTTTCATTTTCAATTCTTTATCAAGACTATTGTGGCTTCTACAAACGAGAAAAGTAAGTTAGGGTTTTACAGTCCCCACCATTGTTGACACCTTCTCTCTTGTCCATTTCACATCTTTTATATAGGACCATTTGGTTTACTTTTACTTTCGACTTTGAAATGTATGCATGCCAACAGATGAAACAATTTACAGGCTGTTGCATGGATATGAAGATAGAGAGAGTTTATACTGCAACCGATATGTCATATCTGTACGATAAGTCTATAAAA